TAGAAATTAGAATGGTGAGCCTATTTGAGTGAGTTAATTTATCGGTAGATTTCTGAATATTGCTCATAATGCATTATGGGTGATAAGACTACTTAGTGTGTCTACCTTTTAGATTCAGTAAGATTGTTGTGTTCTAGTGAAAATATGGTAGAGGAGAAATGTTAGTATCTGTGGTTTTGTTCTATCTTGTTTCTGATTGGTCATAAACATACTGTAGAAATAAGAAATATGGTCATTCTGAAGGTTATAAACACAATTATAATTTATAGAAAATACTTAGAGGACATTTTAAAAGTCTAAATCATGAAAAGTGGTATTAATGTTTTAAGTATAATTACTAAACAGTAATACATTGCTGCTTTTCCTTTCCATATGTTACTTTATTTCTTATTTACGTGGCTTATGTTGTACCTCCGAGCTGAAATAGCTCTTTCCTTTCCTTTGGCTAATTACTCATCATTAAAGCCCAGTTCAGTTGTCACATTCATTAAGGCCTCTGTGGTCATTTTGGTTCCATTAATTATACATTTAACATTTAGACCACTTGTCATATGTAACACTATCTATTTTGGTTTGCATTCTTATTATTGATTGAATATTCCTACCACAGAATCTCACCTAGGATAGTGCTGAGCTTTTAGCAAAATCAGTTGATTGATTTAAACTCAGTAGAAGAGAGGCTAATTTAAAGTAATAAATTTGATGCCAACAAGAATGGGCCTAAAGATTTTATATAATATGTCTTTTTGCTAGTTACCTGTGAATTTCTCTTGGCCTTCAATATTTGGCACCTACTGAGGAAAACAGGAATGTTAGGTAGTACATATGGTACTAAATTGTAACCAAGTAGTGTTGCTTAAGTACTACTTACATTTCTGGGATTCCTTATGTAACAAATGTGGTAATAAAATGAAATTCTCACAACCAGCACCAACAAGTAACTACAAAGTTAGGAAACTTGCAACTTATGTTTGGTTAGAATAGATCGTGATGATGATGATGATGATGATGACATAATTGTTCTTCTCTTATCTTTTAGTACATAAGTAAATAGCATATTTACATTATTTGATTAATTTTCCTCCCTTTTCTCAGTTTCTGTGGAGGCTGTTCTGAAGATTGGGGAAAATGAGTTGTAGGATTGATGTGTAGTTTATCTACAGAATAGGCATTTTTTTAGGAAACCAATTGGGATTTTATGCTGAGAACTTTGTGTGCAGTATAAGGTAAAAGTAGATTGTAATTTGATTCATTTATACAACAGATGTATCAAGTCTTACTCTAGGATAGGTGCTAACTTGAACACATGCAACGTGCAGACATTATTCTAGATGCTAGGTATGAAAACAAATAGGGTAGGGCCCCTGTTTGGCAATACATTTTTAATAAAAATATAGTATTTTAAATGTACTCACATATTAATGACTTATAATTTCAAAATTATTTAAAACTTTCTACCAAACTCATCTACTTTTAGGTTTTTGCAGCATTTTCAGTTGATATTTTGGTTTCTGGAGTTATCACTGATTTTTTTGATCTAACATAATTTAAAAAAAACATAACACTGTACATGAAATAAGAGACTTTGAGAACTATAGTGTCAAATTGACATAGCTAGGTGTTTAGAGAGTATTTCACCTATAGTTGTTTATACTAATTTTATTAATATTTATAACAATATATTTTATATCTAATATGTATCAGTTAAAAATAGCTGCTATTTCTTGAGAGAAAATTGTCTGAGCTAGGGAAAATATTTATTGAAAAATGTGTTTTGTCCATTGAAAGTGTGTCTTGCACAGTGGATATACACATTTCTTGGCCTTCCTATTCCACATGGCCTTAACTTAGAAACTGTATACTCTATCACTTGGTATTCAGGGTGAAATTTAGTGCCTTAAATTGTATAAGGGTAACATCCTTTAGTCCTGTAGCATAGTGTAAATAGCTTTTTCTGTGTCTAATTCTTGCTTTTTCCTACTTTTTTCAGGAGGTAACAGTTAATTTCAACTACGTTCACATAACAGTGCTTCCTTCAGTAACAGACTTGGAAGGAAAGTGAAGTGTCATTAGGAGGGTGTTTCCTTGTAATGTAATAGAAATTAGAATACTTACCATACAATTTACATATAAATATGAGCAATAAAATAGGAAAGGGTGTTTAAGCTACAAATAATAAAGAATTGTGTGACTGATAGACCAGCAGTTAATTAATGTGGAATATTTTATCACTGCTTTGGTATTGTATAAATTGAATACTGGTTGGTATGTTAGTTAAAGCACAGCTACACTACTATATAAGCCAACATGGAAATTCCCTTCTTTAAAAGGAAATTGTTTTGCAAAATCTAAATACTGAGGTGATTAGAAGAAATAACTATAATAAATGACTAAATGCCAAAAAAAAGTTGAATTTGGAATAAAACAAGTTGGATCTTTCTGCTTGATGAAAAGCACTGATACAAAACATTGAAAACATGCCTTAAAAAATTATGGGAATGATGAGGGTAGTGGTTTTGTCTTTCTTTGCCAGACTTATCAGTGACCATATAAAGTATTTATTTAAAAGATACATCTTTGTAGATAAGGTTTTTATAAAAATATTTTATATTAAATTTGGAAACAAATGTTGACATTCATTTATGTTATCACTTTTACTTATTCTTCTCATTCAGAAATATCAACTAGTTTCATCCTCTGTCTTATAGTATAAGTCAGCTAGTGCCATTATTATTGGCAATAACTATAGCCTTATGTACTAAAACTAAGAATCAAACAAAATAAAAATCTCCTAAATTATATGCTAATGATTTCCCTTAATTTAAAATGTTTTTTTTTGTTTGTATTTACTTTTTTTTCTAACTTTATTTTTTGACTTTTTATGAGGTATAATTAATGATAAAATTATATTAGTTTCAGGAGGCCAACACAAAGATTCTATATTAGAATAAATTATAAAATGACAACTACTTAACAGCCATCACCATACATAGTTAATTTTTTTATTATTGCTTTATTACTATAACTATTTTTTTAATTTTTAATATTTTTATTGATTTTAGGAAAAAAGGGAGAGGGAGAGAGCGATAGAAACATCAATGATGAGAAGAAATCTTTGATCTGCTGCCTCCTGTATGGCCCGGCCCCCACTGGGGATCAAGCCTGCAACCAGGGCATGTGCTCCCAACTGGATTCAAATCGTGACCTCAGATTCACAGGTCATCACTCAACCACTGAGCCATATTGGCTGGGTTATTTTTTAAATTCATTTTTATTGTTGAAAGTACTACAGTTGTCCTCCTTTTCCCCCATTAACCCCTCTGGCCCGCACCAGTTGCCTACCTTTTTCTTTTATGAAAAACTTTATTTCTATAAGTCTTTGGAGTATATGAGTAAACTAAATTATAAAGTCTCTGGATGAATCCACTAATTAAAATTTGAATATTTTTCATTTTAAGAGACTTTCTAACTGTGTTAGATAAAATATTTTGATAATTTTTTTTTTATAAAGCTCTGAAGCTATAGGAAACTCCTAATTTAGATTTTAATGAGAATTAATTTCCCTAACTCCTTTTATTTTTAATAATCTGGTAAATATCCAGCCAGAACACTATTCATATGCAAATCCTGATCTCATTCATTGGAAGTTAGTTTTTTAGGGTTTATAGTTGTCAACACTTAGTTTGTCTTTTCTCCAACATTTCTCAAGATCAATTATCTAATAGGACAAATTTAAAATGGTGTACAAAAAATGACATGTATTTTTATTGTCATGCCAAATATGAATATATTGTGATAAAAAGCTACACTAGATTAATATTTCAAGATTATTATATGGAACGAATTTCAAACAGAAATGGTGATTTTTTTTGTACATAGGGCCAAACTGAGTTTGTTTCATTTTAAATTTTTATAAGTATTTTATTATCTCCATATCTCAATTATGTTCTTTTATAGTGCTTTTGCTTTAGTAACTGACATGTACTCTATATTCTAAGAGGCTATTTTTATTTAATGTTAAAACAGCTCATAAAAAGTGAAAATTTAATTAAATTACTTATTTGATGTTGTGTAAAGTTGTGTCTAAAACATTTTTTAATTTGCAAAAATAAAAAAGTGCTAAATTTTAGTCAAGTAAGTTTGTGTGTAGGCATGCAGAATATATGAATTAATGTAAAATCTTGATTAACTTGATGCTCAGAAATTCAAATGAATATTTTTGAGGGGCTATAATGTTTAATTGAAGACATCAGATACAGTATGAAGAAAAAACATTTACTTAAAAATAATAATGTAACAAGTACAATAAATAAACAATTATGTATCCTCTGTTCAGTCCTATGAGAATTGTGGTTGAGAATTAAGAGATTTAGAACTATAAGGTCAACACTTGTTTAAGAACTGTTTCATTTTTCCTCTCATATAGATCAATCTAGACTATATACTACTTCATATTGGAAATCTAAAACTAAGGGTTGAGGCATTTGTTTTCTTGAGTTCTCTAATACTAAGAATTTTAGTTAATTTCTAAATTAACAGCACCACCATTCTTGAGCATCCTGGTTAATCTGGCTTTTACTGTAGATTGATATTATGTATCTGGTTCATTTTATTTAGCAGTCACTTACTGCATTTTCCTTTTCACTTTTTAAACTATGCTGTTTTATATTTCTGAGACATCTAATTTTACTGAGGGGAAAAATGGAAATGTGGTACAGAGCCCAATTATATAGCGGCTCTAAAGGTACATAAATGTTTCCATTTTTTTTGTCATATGCTTTCCATTCCTCCCTAACTTACATTTGTTCCTTTCTTGTGCTCTTTGGTTTAACATTGTTCTCCTCCCCAATTTTCCTCTTTTCCTCATTGTAAACTCATGGCAGGGTCTGCTGGGTGAGCTCATTCTCTTACAACAGCAAATTCAAGAACATGAAGAGGAAGCACGCAGAGCTGCTGGCCAATATAGCACGAGCTATGCCCAACAGAAGCGCAAGGTGATGGATGGTTTAAGGGGGCTACTGATGTGTTCAGATTAATCAGCCATTTCTACCGAGATCATGTCACCTTAATCCATTCATGGACTCCAATTATGAGAAATTATTTTTGACAAAGTAAAACTATGAAAGATACATAATAAAAATATGTAACTTTCCTGGAGAGGGTAAACATACCCAACATATATATTTTCTAAAAATTATATTAACTGTGAGGGTTCTTGGAAGAATAATGAATTATGGTTCAGTTATTTAGTCATCTTAAATTCTTAGGTAACTTGTCTACTTAATTGTTCTCCAACCAAGCTTTTATTACTAAAATGAAAAAAGATTACTATGAATGACTATGTTCAGTTATTTAAAGATTGAAATGTATTTGATTTAGGTGAAGTGGAGAATGGCTTTATTTTTTATAGAAGAAAACAATTTTGATTTAATTTTCGGGCATAGTTATTCTTTTTTGGGGGAGGGGGCGGTGTTTACCCTCACCAAAGGTTATTACTTTTTCCATTGATTTTTAGAATGGAAGTACAGGAGGGAGTGGGAGAGAGGAAGAGAGAAACAGTGTGTGAGAGACATGCATCAATTGGTTGCCTCCTGCATGCACCCAACAGGAGCCCTGGCCCCTTTGGTGGGAAGGCCAATGTTCTAACCCCTGAGCAACACTAGCCAGGGCAGCATAGCTATTCTTATTCAGATTGATAAACTCATTGTATAAAGTTTATCCACATTCATCAATAAAGTCAACATAAGTAAGTTTTACCTTGGATCACTGAGAGAACATTAGAAATCAAATCTAATTCTTCTGTTCGCTAGAGAGCAGATTCTGATAAAAGTCAGTGTGAGTCTATACAAATATTTAATTATAGGGACAATCAAGAAGTCCTTAAAAATATGACTTTGGCTGTAACATGATCCCACAGTGTAGATCCCAAGGTTAAATATTTAATTATAGGGACAATCAAGAAGTCCTTAAAAATATGACTTTGGCTGTAACATGATCCCAAGGTTAATGTTCTAAGAAGATTTTTAAGTCAAAATGAAATGAATGTAATGATTTAAAAATATATTCTTATGAAATCAGCTAGTCACATATCAGAAAAGTTTTAAAGTTATGTACAAATCTTAGGAAGAAAGATTAAGTCATGCATATAATGAGCTTTTTGTAAGTTCTGGTATTGGAATCAACCAATATTATAATGATTTAGTGCAATGCTTCTGCTGACTAACCTTGTCTCATGTTGGTGGTTAAACACTTAAGAACACTTATCATAGTTTTATTTATTTTTTCAGTGTCACTTCCTGGCTTTTCTCAATTCCATGGCTGTGGAATCAACTACTGTATGTGTTTAGCTTTTAGTGAATGGATAACATAGGTAGATAATAGAAAGTAAATTATTCTTCTACTTCATTAAGTTAAAGCATCTATGTTACCAAAGAAACACTTAAGCTATTTTTTTTAATATCTGTAATTCTTACAACAAAGAAAAATTATTTTTTAAACAAAAAAGACTTATTTTAAATGGTGCTTTAGCATTCTCTGATCTGTATGCTGTTGAGAGTGCCATTTAAATATTCTAACAAATTGAATGCTAAGACTGATTCTTAGCTTTGTTACAGAAGGAAGGGGAAGGAGTTATTTCGTTCTGATACATCATTTAGAAATACTAGTATAGTTTACTTAAAAGTTATTCTTAAAGGTTCATAATGGCAAAATAACTTGAAATGAGTTCTTAAAAGTTCATAATGGTAAAATAACTACCATTTTCAGATTTTAAGATATGGTTTAACATTTTTTTTAATCTGATAATTTAAGAGCTATTAGTAGTGAATACTAATTATTTTCTACATTGCCAAAGGTTAATGCTCATTTGAAGCCTACTTGTCATTTTCAGGCTTAGTGATGTTCCATTTCAAATATTTATTGGTTTATCCAGTAACTTCTATGCCTCACTTACCTTGTTTGTGAAATAGTGACAGATAGGACTGTACCTTCTGTTTTATTACGTTGCACAGTGGGTCACCAGATCGAGGCTGTTCCTGCCCTCTGTGAAGTTACATGGGACTCTAAAATTATTTACATTCTCCTATAGAAAAAGCACTCTTCATCATTTCCCCTACTTTCCTGAAAAATAGTTTCCTTACTGTATCTTTCCTACTTTCCCCTTATATCTAATAGTTAGTACACAGATAACTTTTCAGCCATTCACCATAATGGTCAAAATCCTAATTCATAAGATTTCTGTCCATCCAGGCATTTGAAGTTTACTTGAGGTACAAAACCACAGCTTTTTGTGGCTTTTTAATAATTCTTCCATCCTTACCTTCTTAAAAATATAAGTAAGGCTTCGTTTTTTATATCATGCTAGTAGTAGCAGTTCTAAAATTTCCCTTGTATCTCCTGAGCAAAGGAGCTCATGCAGGAAAACTGCCTTTGGTAGTTTTGCCTCCTATGAAGATGTACGCATGTAAAGACGTTTTTGAGGCTTTCATATATGTGTTTTGGTATTTCAGAATGGCCACAATGGCTTAGTAGGGAAAAATACTTAAAATTTTTAAATCAGGGTTGGTTTTGTGAGGAGCTAGTAAAGGTTTTTGTCTTTCAGCTTTAGCTTGTTTCTGCGGAGGATTCCGCTTTTTCTCCATCAGTTTCACAGCCCTGGAATTGTAGAAAAGCCCTGGTTTCAAGACCATTGATACCCATTTCTGTCAGGGTGAGTCCTAAATTAACTTCATAATATAAACTGAATATATCAACAGGACAAGAACTTATTCTTGTCATAAGGAGTTGAATTTTATCGTAAAGTTCATCAAAATAAAATATATCCATATTGCTAGTTAAGACCTTAAATAAGCAACAAATTAAAAAATACCTTAGCTAGTCTCTTAAGAAAAATATGTATAAGTATCTTCTCATGAATACTTATTTATCTTGTTTCCTAGAAACATTAGGTATAATTCTTGACTCCACCATCACTTGTCTTATAATAAAACATTAATTTTGATGTTTCAGTAAGTTAAGCAGATAGAAAGTAAAATGGTGCATGAGTTATTCCTAACAATCATGGCAAAGGGCAAAAGATAAATCTACATACTTCTAAAAATATGAATTTATAAAAATCTTAACAGTCATGATACTAAATATGTTAGCTTAAAGATTGTGTTTGTAATATTCTAATAAACTTATATCATTTTAACTTTTTGTATACCCTTTTTAATTTACCAAATTACTAAGGTAACCTTTTAGGCCTTTGGCTTATAATAAACAGTATAACTTTTTGGTGTAATTGTATTGGTTTTAATTATTGCCCCATTGTGTAATGTTGAATTTTCTATTATATAAGGATATATTGCATGAAATCATTAAATATTCACATTCAAACTAAAACAGTTTATACTAATACTGTTTATACATTTCATACTAATTTAGCTGCAGTTGGATGAATATTTAATGAAACAAAATCAAAGTACCTTTTAAAATGAATTGAAAATTTAATGTTTTTATGACCATATTGTTACAGTGTGATGGCATGCCTTATGTTCGAAATGTGGAATTATTTATTTCTCCTTTGGCCTTCAGTATTTTGTTTTTTGGGATATGGGCTTCTCTCCAACTTTCTTGTTTCCTCACATTTTAGGAGACTATTAATAATTCTTGTCCATGCTATACAAACACACAGTCAAATGAAAAGAGTTTCTATCCATAAGTCTCTACTTGATATACAGGAATGAGAAAACAATAAAGTTTGCTTTATATTATCATTTTTCTAATTACTAAAACATAAGAGATTTTTAGGCATAGGCTTTTAAGGAAAAAATAATATGTACCTATTCTAACAAGCGTTGACATTTATAAAAAAAAATATGTGTTTTTTTTAATTGATTTCAGAGAGGAAATGAAAGGGGGCGGGGAGACAGAAACATCAGTGATGAGAGAATCATTAATGGGCTGCCTTCTGCATGTCTCCTCCTGGGGATCAAGCCCCCAATGCAGGCATGCGCCCTGACCAGGAATTGAACCATGACCTCCTGTTTCATAGTTCCATGCTCAACCTCTGAGCCATGCTGGTTGGGTATCATTTTTATTTAAAAGAAGTGTTTGGGAAAATTTTTGAGAAAGTATTTGGGAATAGTAATTAAAATCTCAAATTAACTTTATTGCATGGATGAAAATTATTAATGCCTTCTTGAACAAATCATTTAAAATTTTTTCATATACATTTGCTACCATGATGTCTTGATTGCTTAAATAGCCAATGAATAACAATGATTTACATGAATTTTAAACATATTTTTGTGTCTAATGAAATAAATTCATGTTGCAAATTTTGATGATCAGAAATTAGACAATTATTTTGAAAGACTGAAAATGACAACTTCTGTACCTCACCAAGGAGTCAAAGCACAGTAATGTGGATTTGTCATAAATGACATCATTTTGATTAAAATTGATCATTGTGTTTGATATTTAGAATTGTATTGTGACAACTTTAAAGCCTGTTACACAATAGAGTTCTTTGTTGTTTTTGGATATTTTACTTTAGAACTATTAATATTAATAACAATTTGAAGTAATTTCTGCAGTATCTGTGGATTTTGTCCTACTTTTGTTTTATGTCCAAATTAATTTTAATTGCTTTACTTGACTTCATTGCTACTGATGCATTTGCTTTATTAAGTGTTAACAGATCTTTCACTAGAACTAAATTTAAAAACAATCATCTGGCTCCTCTTAGAGTTCTGAAAATGCAAGTTGTTCTTTGCATTTATTAAATACTTCCCTACTTACAGAATGGAATTGAATAATGTTTGTTTAAAATATACACTATGATCAATGAACTTTTTCAGTACCTGTAAATGATAACATGTATCTGACTTCCCAAAACACATTTCTGTAGGGCTGTCAATGCTTTATTTCTCCATGCATCCAAGTGCCTGTGCTTGAGCACAAAACAAGCTGTGAAGAACATAGTAACCATATATGTCTAATTTTTCTAACAAGCCATCCATAAGAAATGATTAGAATGGCAACAGGAAATGATTGCTTTTTAAGGTTTCTATTTAATATGAAATTTAATGAGCTCTTATTGGTAAATATAATTGTTTTTAACTTTCTTAAATATTTGATTTTAAATTGCTTTGATTGCGCATATAAAATCAGTTTAAAAAATTTTTAACTTACAGTACATCCTATATAAACCTACTTATACTCAAAATTATTTTCTTTTGAATATTTAGGTGTCAGACAAAGAGAAAGTTGACCAACTTCAAGAAGAACTTCTACATACCCAGGTAATTCTGATGAGTGAGAAGAGCCAAGGACTTCTTATCCTATATAATAAAAGGCTGATTGCTGTCTGCAGGGTAATGGGTGGACCCCAGCAGTAAGCTAACCTGTGGATTGGTGTGTCTGCCCCTTAGTGGTCAGTGCACATCATAGTGACTGGTTAACTAGTCTACTATCTGCCCCCGGTGGTCAGTACACATTATAGTGAGCGGTTGAGCATCCTTAGCGTATTATTAGCATATTACACTTCGTTTGTTTGAACAGACAACTGGACACTTAGCATATTAGACTTTTATTATATAGGATAGGAGAGTGATCAGCAAACTCATTAGTCAACAGAGCCAAATATCAGTACAAAAGTACAACGATTGAAATTTCTTTGGAGAGCCAAAATTTTTTAAATTTCTTCTAATGCCACTTCTTCAAAGTAGACTCACCCAGGCCATGGTATTTTGTGGAAGAGCCACACTCAAGGGGCCAAAGAGCTGCATGTGGCTCGTGAGCCGCAGTTTACCGACCATGGGGATAGGGTATTTTAATTAAAACACAAAATAATATGGGGAATGGGAGGAGTTTGAATTTTTGCTAAATTGTCCTTATAATGAAGACTTTAAAAATGTTGATATAATAGGAAATATTGTTTCATGGAATGTACTTAATGAAAAGCTTTAAATGCTTACATTTTAAATAATTTAATTTCTTAATTGTAAATACCAAAGAATTTTCCAAATAAAATGCCAAATTATAATGAAACTTATTGTTTGAGATTTTCATAATTCTCTCAACATTTTCATAGGAGTTTTGAAATGAAATAATTTATTTTGAATAGTCAGGAGATATTACTTCAGGATTTTAGAAGCTTTTAATTTAGACTTAATATTATTTATTAACCCATCTTTTTCTTATGTAGTTATGGTATTATTTTGTTTCAGTTAAAGTACCAGAGAATTTTGGAACGGTTGGAAAAGGAGAACAAAGAACTGAGAAAATTATTGTTGCAGAAAGATGACAAAGGCATCCATCATAGAAAGCTTAAGGTATTTTAATTTTATCTTAATTTGTTGGTTCTCAGAACTTTTCGTGATCATCAGTACTTGTGTATAAGGGACTATAACCATAACGTGTTCTATCCTCCTTTGTCACCTGCTATCCTTCAGGGATAGGAAGTTCTC